CCCCCAACTCAGTCCCCTCTGCTCTAAGGAAAACAACCCCAGTCTGTCCAATCTCTCTTCATAACTGAAACTGTCCAGCCCAAGGCAACATCCTGGTAAATCTCCCTCTGTGCCATCCCCCCTCCCCTCAGTGCTATCACATCCCTCCTATAATGTGGATTGCAGAACTGAGCACAATACTCTAGCTGTTGCCCAACCAGCATTTTATACAGTTCCAGCAACACCTCCCTGCTCCTAAACTCTGCACCTCGGCTTATAAAGGCAAACATCCCATGTCCCTCCTTAACCACATTATCTACACGTCCCACTACTCTAAGGGACTGGGAAATGTGCACATCAAGGCTCCTCTGATCGTCAGTGTTTCCCAGGGTCTTACTGCTCACCATGTACTCCCTTGTCTTGTTTGTCCTGCCCAACTGCATCACCTCACATTTATCCGGATCGAATTCTGCGAACGTTGGTTTCAATAAAATTCAGGGGAAGAAGGTTGAGTTTAAAACGATTGTTAAAGTGTACGTCAATCTGTGCAGTCCCAGTGCCCACTGTGCCTCCTGTTTGTTCCCAGTGTCTACAAAACCCTATTTGCCCCCACCACACCCCCACCCCATTGCCTTGCTTCGCATGGCAAAAACTGATGGAACAGACAAAGAGACTCTCAAGCTAGAGCCCAGGAAATCTGAATCTGTATTTGTATTAAAATCACTTGTAACATCCACGTGTCTCAGTAATTCTGAACAGCTTCATGTTCAGTTCACCGCTCACGTAGCTGCCAAGCTGTGACCATCACAGTGTGCACTCTAATACTGAACTGGATAACAAGTCAGACAAACCTCCGAGCTCTGAACTCAGGGTCTTCTCTTTGCGACGGTGGCTCTGGAGTTGTCATGTCTGTGGATCAGAACCTTCCAAGAGATTCCCAGGGTCAGGGTGAACAGCCGCTTCCATAGTTCCTCAGTCTATCCCCTTTGGCACCCACACAATTGTCGACTGACCCTCAGCCCTCAGGCACGTGCTCCGTCGGCATCATTTCCCATCATGCCAGCTTCGGCGCCATGTCACTTCCTGCACTGATGTGATATCTTAGCTTGCCAACTGCTCATCTTTGTGAAGGAGGGAGTACGTCTCACTTTCTCCATCTGAGTACCAGCACTGTTAGCGAGGAGATGCAGAACGCCGCGATCACTATCAGCACGATGATGATGTTCATATCTCGCTTCTGTCCGCCTGTTAACACGAAAAGGTCAGTGATGACACGACGAAACAAGGGAGGAAGGTGTGGATGTAACATGATAGTAAAATGTAGGGTATGCAGGGTAGTTTGATCTTAAAGTAGGATAATAGGTCGGCACAACATCGTGGGCTGAAGGGCCTGTGGTGTGCTGCACCGTTCCCCATGTAATGTTTTGACAACCCGTTGATAGGGAGGCCACAACATTGGATGGAGGGAGTGGGAGATGGGAGATTTGGAGGTGGAGGTCTGGAGTGTGGGAGATGGGTGTGGGTGTGAAATTGGGAAATGGGGTGTGTGATGGGGAGTCGGGGAGAAGGAAAGGAGGATGTGGCTTTGAGGAGTGGGAAGTGGAGGATGGGAGTGGGTCATTGGGAATGGAGAATGCAAAACTGGAGAATGGGGAATGAGCGATTGTGGGTGTTGGGGGGATTGGGGAGCAGTGGTTGTGGATGGGGAAATGTGGAGTCAGGGATCTGGGGGAGTGAGAGATGGGGGAGTAGGGGATGGTGAGGTTGGGAGTGGGGTAGTTGTGGATGGAGGGAGTGGAACAGCAGTTGAAGAAGGCAGCTCATCACCACCTTCTCAAGGGGGCAACTAGGGACGGGCAATAAATGCTGCTCCCAGCCAACAACACCCACGTCCCATGAATGAAGAAACAAAAGCAGAGACGAGAACAAGGACTTCATGATGCAACTTTACAAACCAGCTTCAATGGTGTCCAGATTTGGGGCAACTCCTTTCAGAGAGAGGGGAGGCAGGAAAGGTCAATGAGGATGGGTCTCCCTGGGTGAACAACGTCAATGATGTTGAAAAGTGAAGGTCGAGAGGGGCTTTGACAGAGTCTTGGAGTGGGGAAGGGCTCGATCACAAGGGAAGATGGAGAAATGGCTTAGAAAGGGGCAAGAAGACTGAGTGCAGAAGGCATGGTTAGTAAGTGTGCAACTGATACCAAAATTGGTGGAATGAAGAAGGTTTTCTAAGATTACGAAGGGATCAAGATCAAGTTGGTGAATGGGCTGAAAAATGGCAGATGGAGTTCAATCGAGATAAATGTGAGGTATTGCATTTTGGTACAACAGACTTATACAATTAATGGTAGGGCCTTGGGTAGTGGTGTGGAACAGAGAGAACTAGGGGTGCAGTGACATAATTTTTTGAAGTTTGTGTCACATGTAGACAGGGAGGTTAAAAAGGCATTTAGCACGCTTGCCTTCATTGCTCAGACCTTTGAATACAGGAGTTGGGACGTCATGTTGAGGTTGTAAAGGATGTTGGTGAGGTCTCTTCTGGAATACTGTGTCCAGTTCTGGTCACCCAGTAATAGGAAGGATATTATTAAACTGGAGAGGGTTCAGAAGAGATTTACCAGGGCGTTGCCGGGTATGGAGGGTTTGAGTTATAAAGAAAGGTTGGATAGGCTGGGACTTTTCTCACTGGAGCGTAGGAGGTTGAGAGGTGACCTTCGAGAGGTTTATAAAATAATGAGAGGTATAAACAGAGTTGATGGTAGGTTTCTTTTCCCCAGGATGGGGGTTTGAAGACCAGGGGGCACATTTTTAAGGTGAGAGGAGAGAGATTTAAAAGACATGAGGGGAGAAAACCGAGACGCTGGGCCTCCTGGAGAAACTAGGCCCAAAAGCCTGGCCCCATCTCACCTGCACCCACCCCCGGAGGAGAAACGCCAGGCCGCACTGAGAGTATCCCCCGAAGCCAACGCCGTCAGGAGGAGAAAGACGGCCAACACAGACCAAGACGCCACTCCGGCCTGATCCCGATACGGGGGCCGGAAAACGCTCGCCGAGCCGGGCGGCTGAGGAGATGCAAACGCCAGGACAAAGCCGGCCATGTTCGGAGACCGCTCTGCAGGGCCCACACCACCCTGCTGGGAAACATGGCCCCTGCTCCCCACCACCGGAAGCTGCCCCGTCGCTGGGCAGACGGCCAACTGAGGCCTTAAGGTGAACTGTGATACTTTAATATGAGCCACGCTGACCAGAAATATTTAAATAAAATGAAAGGAAACTGTAAAAGTGAATGGAGTAGATGAGGTCCGGTCCCCTGGGCTGGCGACAGTAGAGTTGGAGGGTGGGGGGGGAGAAGGGAGGGGTGTGTAGGGGGACGCAGACAGGACACTGGACGGTGTACAGGTAGGACTGCAGTTATACTGACAGCCGTTACCACAGGAAGGAGTGCTGCTCCAATCAGCTCTCTCTGAGGTCTTACCTTCACTCTGCATTTCACTGACGTTCGCTGGGGTCGATCTGCTGTTTCCTGCTGGAGTCGGTGTGCTGGTTGCTGCTGGGGTCGATGTGCTGGTTGCTGCTGGTGTCGATGTGCTGGTTGTTGCTGGGTTTGAGGTGCTGGTTGCTGCTGGGGTCGATGTGCTGGTTGCTGCTGGGGTTGATGTGCTGG